GCTGGAGATAGCAGTCAGGCATCTTTAGTCCCCTGTCTCATAGCCATTAATAAATAGGGCTTTTGTCAAAAAGAGCAGAAACTTTCCCCCCTTTTTTCGGAACTTGTTTTTTGTCTTTAGCAGCTGCTTTCAGTCTCATTGTATCTTGTGATTAATGCATCTGCCAAGTAGCACTGCAAATGCCTAGATGCATTGGATGTTTCCAGAATTTAGGGGCAAGCCTATGTCTTAAATCATGTGTGTCTGCCCTAAGACCAGCACTCACACACTGGAACAGTAGTTATAGACAATCCCACATGACCAGTAGAAGGAAAGGTAAACACTGAATCTCCAATATCTGTTAGATCTTAATCGTAGATTTTGGCAAGCACTTGTACCCCATGGTAAAACAAAACAAAACAAAACAAAACAAACAAAAAACCAAAAATAGTCTTTAAAAAAATTTAAAAAGATATCAGTCTGGCCCAATCCTTAGATAAGGACATGGACAGTATTAGCGTAGGAGCATCTATCCTGAAAAGCATCTGACCACAAGAAAAAAAGAGAGTAGATGAAAAGGCCAGAACATATTTATAATCCTCTTTTTAAAATGAACGAATAGATAATTCCTACTGTACATTTCCTTTAAAACTGGGCATCTTAACACCAGAATGGAAATTAAAAACCTTCAGGATATAGTGAAATACTGCCAATCCTAGCTTGTCAGTTTTGGGGGGCTAACATATGTGGAAGACCTGGGTCCACAGGCTTTCTCTCTAGGCAAGCAGAGACCTATTTTCACACACAATTGTGATTTTTCTTTGACTGTGATTCCTAATTTTTTGGGGTAAGTCAAAATATTTTAATTTTGGGTTATACAAGTAAAAGGTGCTAACTATAGAAAACATTCAGTGGGTATAAAGAGTATGAAGAATATCACTTGTAATTCCATTAGTCAGCAACACATGTAGTTAACATTGTAGAATTGTAGCTCCTCCTACTATCTCTTCAATGCCAGCAGACATATACACATATTTAAATAAAAATAGGACAATAGGGCTGAATTATCCCAGTTGCTTATTTATTTATTTATTTATTTATTTACTTATTAATTTACATCTTTTTCTAACCAGCTCTTTCACTGAACTCAACACTGTGGGCATAGCTCTCTTTTGCTCATCATCTTTTGCCAACAGCAAATGATCTGAACAGTGCAACAGCATACATGGGATTGAGACCCTGGAGAACCTAGGACATGTGGACATGGAGAACCGCATCCTGTTGTGGACTCGGTCCTCGTGACTACCGTGGCTGCTGTTCCTTCTCTGGTGTGCCTGCGTGTTAAGATGGGTGTTGCAAGCCCCTGGGTACTCCCAGAGTGCCTAGAGCCCTGGCACTTCTTCCCAGTGTCTGAGTCCTTTGTCCCTGAGTGTCGGTGACCCTCTGTCTTCCACCCTGAGTGACTGCTCTCTTCAGCATTTCTGGGTTCCACTGTTGCTGCCTACACCCATAATCCCTTAGAGTTTCAGGGCTTTTACCTCCATCCACTGCTGGGTCTTTGCATGGTAATCTGTAGTCCTTCACCGTTTCCAGAATATTTATGATTGTTTTTCTCTGACTCTATGTACTAAATCATGCTACCCAAATATTCTTAACTCTCCCCTCTACCACATCTTCTTCTGTTGTCAGGGTATCCATGTCACAGCTTCTGCTGGAGTTTCGGTTGTGGAGAGTTTTGTGTTTCTATCGTAGGGAAAATTTCAATCCAACTCTGACTTCTGTATCAACTTTTTCTCCCCCTTGGAAACATTGAAGGTTGGCTTATTTGCTTCTCCATTTACTGCCATGACCCATGACCAAACTTGTTTTTTCTCTCCTGAAAGTCTCTGGAAGGTGATGTATGCCATTTTGTAACTGCTCTACCCTCGACCTTCTGGAAGCAAGTCAAACTTATGGCCTTTTGAGATTTCTTAAGGGAGTATAACTAAGCTAGCCTGTGTTGAGTACCTACCATGGGCCAGGACCTAGCTCTGGTGTTTGTTATTTCTGAATGGAAGGTGGTATTTATGTCCGTTGTACATTTGAGTAACCCGAGGCCTGGGAAGGTTAATTTGCCCAAGCTTATACTACCCATAAGTAGTCAGAGTTGAAACCCAAGTCTTCCTGGCTCCAAAACACTTGGATTCATTTAATAATCTCAAATGATAGACTAGTCCCCTTTCCCCACCTTACATAGGGGTTTCTGGCCCTCCATTGCTACCCTCAGAGACTCTTGATTTTTTTCCTTTTCTTTTTTTTTTTTTACTCCATGTAGAGCAGTGGTCCCCAACCTTCCTGGCGCACCAGGGACTGGCCTCATACACCCCATTTCCACCACTACTACATTTCAATATACAGTGAGACAATTACACGACAATAGGACTGCATTCCCATGAGAATTCAGTACCCCTCGCTGACCTGACAGGAGGCAGAGCCCAGGCGGCAACATGAGTGATGGGAGTGGCTGTAAACACAGAGCCTGCCTGCCATCTCCCCGTTGCTTGCAGCCAGAGCTGGAGGGGGAGCAACAGGCCATGGCCCAGGGGTGGGAACTCCTGGTAGAGTTTATTTTGGAGCTGGTTATCTTTCTAGTACCTGTGACATGCAGCCTCTCTGGAGCACCTGTGACCCCCTAGGTAACTGAGCTTCCCTCCAAGTGGCCCTGTTGTCTATCGCTGCCTCCAGTGTGCAAAGCCTCCGGTTCTCGCTAAGATTTCTCTGCTCTATCTTCCAGCACACCAGCCTTTTTGTGTCTCCAGCCTCTCTGACTTGATCTAGTTGCTGTTGGTCACCTCTCCTCTTAAATGGTGGTGTCCTCCAGGGCCTCACTTTACCTTTCTCCCTGGCTCTCATGTTCATATCATGACCTAAGGGTGATGTATGATGACCTCCAAGTTGCTGAATCTGGTTCTGTTTTCCAGATCCTTCTCTTTAATTGCCTTCTAGAATCTCTTACCAGTGTCCTGAAGGCTCGTCAACCTCAGCATGCCCAACAACTGAGCTAACTTCCTCTCCGACCTCTTCCTATATGGATCTTCTCTTATCATGTCCTGGCTTGGTTAATAATATCACCCTCTACTGTCATCAGTCTTATTATAGCTAGAAGCCCTGAGAGGCATTATTTCACTCCATTTTCTCACATCTCATATTGAACTGATTTTTGAATCTTGTTAATGACTTCTATCTCAGAGATTTCTCCCAAATCCAGCCCTTTTCTCCTCTATGTTCATGTTTTATTTCAGGTCTTCTATTCTTACCTGAACTGTGTGAGTAGTCTTTCAATTTGCATTATATTGTTAACAACTCTCCTCCTGAAAAAAAAAAAATCTCTGCAGTTTTACTCTCATGCAGAGCAGACTCATCATAAGTAGGTGCTCATTTCCATAGCTCCAAGTCCTCTCTGCTCACTTGCCCTGCCCACAGCCCTGAAGCCCCCTCTGCCCCTCCAGAGCTTCCATCACCAGTGTCCCACATGCCAGAGCTTGCCTCCTCTCTTACCACTTGCTTGCTTCCCTCCCAAAAGTCTTTCTTGTAGCTGGTACACTTCTCATTCCTCAGACCTGACTCAGGTGTCACCTCTGACATGCTGCTCCCACTGTGGTTGTATCTGGATCCTTCTCGTGTGCCCCCAGCCCCCTTAACATATCTCCTAGCCCACACCTCTTGGTATCTGATTACATGCTCACCTTCCCTTGTTTTGTCTTGCCTTATTTTGTTTTTAGGTGTTCTCACTGGATAGAGACAGACAGAAAGCAAGAAATCACCCTGGGCATGACTGCACCTCAATCCCTTCTCCTCCATTCTTCTCTCAGGGTTTTGGGCACTCATGCACACGTGCCTGGTGTGACTTTTCAAGCTACCAGGTCCAGGGCTTGATTCGCTGCTGACCATGTGGGATGGCAGCACCTTAGTCATTATGCCACCTCCTGGCCCCCCTTATTCTCCTGATTCAAATGGGAGTTCTTGGGGACAGCAATGTGTTTAGTACCTGGCTCAGTACCTTGTCTGTGGTAGGTGGTGAAGGCACGCCATCCTGCTCTCCAAAGACTGCCGCAATACTCAAGCCTTGTAAGGTGCTTGTGACCTTCTACTACCCTCCGATTCACTTTCTTCCTACTCCTGTTGGAGCCCTTGGCAGTTTACTCTGTGGTTCTCTCACATTCAGTCTACAGAGCTGCACCTCCTGTCTTTCCCAGTGCTTGAGATTTTTCTCTCCAATTCCCACCTTCCTAGAGTGCCTCTCTCCCTCCCCTGTACCAGACGGAGGACCTGGTTCTCCCTTGCTTCTCCTGGGTGTCTGCGAAACTTCCATTCATCCCCTAGCTGGCATTTCTTAAAGCGAGGTCCTGAGTCACTTGCATCAGAATAATTCTGGTTGATTATTTGAAATGCAGGTTCTTGGGCCACTCCACAACTTTACTGAATAGGATTTGCTGAGCTTAGGGATCTACATTTTAATCAGTTCCCCAAGTGATTCTAGTATACTCTCAAGTTGTGACTTGTTCCGGATCAATGTGCACCCATTGATGTTCAGAAAATATCTATGATGTTCTCCAACTTACCATGGTTGACTTATGATATTTTTAACTTGATGGGTTTATCAGATAACTAACTCCGTAAGCCCCTCCTGGAGAGTCACAGTACATTTAGCATATTATAGGGCTACCGAAACAATAGCAAAGCACAGTAAACCAATCTGCTTTCCAAGGGGAAGTCTTTATTCTTCCTTCATACACATGGACATTCGAGCACAGCTTTCCCATGCCTGGTTTCTAGCACTGGTTTCCCTACTTTCCTGGAGCAGTTTATTTCTGCGCTATTTTAAGTGAGGTGATACTGTGATATGCTTAGCAGGCCTGGCATTGAGTGGGCACACAGTCCCTGAGTGTCGCTGCCCTGCCTTATTCCCTGCTCTGCCTGCGACTTCTCATCCTTTCCTCTGTGGGTCTCTGACAGCCTGTCTTCTCCTTGTCGCCCTGCAGGGGGTGTCTTGTATGCTGCCACTGTGAAAAACTACCTGGGGACAGAGCCGATCATCTCCCGAGCTGTGGGTCGTACTGAGGACTGGATTCGGACAGAGACCCTGCCATCCTGGCTTAACGGTGGGGAGAAGGGGAGGGGGTCCTCTGGGGCACAGACTGGAGGCTGGGTGACCTCAGGCTGAGTCTTTGGGGATCTGAGGCCACCGGTCTCCCCAGCCCCAGCCTTTGTTGCAGCCGTTGCCTTGAGCCCAGCCGAGTGGGGGGATGAAGATGGAGACGATGAGATCTACTTCTTCTTTACTGAGACTTCCCGAGCCTTTGACTCGTACGAGCGCATTAAGGTTCCGCGGGTGGCTCGTGTGTGTGCGGTGAGACCCCTATCCTGGCTGGCTGGCTGTTGTCTCCTACTTTGTCTGTCCTTCTGGCTTTTCCTCTGCAGACTCTGTCTTTGCATTTCTCCAATGTCTCCTTTTTTATTTCTTTGCTTTGATTTCTTTTTTGGGAGCTTGAGGATCATGGGGGCTGGCCTCTGGGCTCTTTGATCCCCACAGTCACCCTTGTATCACATTATCCACAGGAGAGGGAGTAGTATAGAGGTTAAGGCACAAACTGGTGGCAGATAGACCAGGGTTCAAGTCCCTGCTCTACTACTTACTGCTGTGACTCTGGGTGGTTCTTTGATACCTTTGAAACTCATCTGTAAAATGAAGATAATCACACCCATGTATGAGTTGTCCAGAGGACTAAACGAGGTAACTTAGGCAAAACACAGCACAGTGCTTTATACATACATGACAGGCTTAGTCACCATCCTTGTCATCTCCCTTCACCCCGTGTCTCATTGTCTCCACAGTCGCTCTCTTTGTGTCTTAGTCCCTGCATTTCTATCTGTCTCTCCATCTGTCTATGTCCTGAAGTCAGGGAAGAAACTTGTATTCATCTCTACACTCCTTGTCCAATCTTGGTCTTCTGAGGAGAACTTCCCATGTGCTTGTCACCCAGGGAGACCTTGGGGGCCGGAAGACCCTCCAGCAGAGATGGACGACGTTTTTGAAGGCTGACCTATTGTGTCCCGGGCCTGAGCATGGTCGGGCATCCAGTGTCCTGCAGGATGTGGGTGTGCTTCGACCTGAACTGGGGTTGGGAACTCCTGTCTTTTATGGCATCTTTTCCTCCCAGTGGTAAGGGCTTGTGATGTGGAGGAGAGATCCAGGAGGGGAGATCTGTGGGGTCGGCCCTGTCTCTCCCCGTAGGGGAGCGGACTGTCCCTCCTTCCCTTGGCTGCATGATGCCTCAGGCGTTTCTTGGGGTTATCTCATTTAACCAGGGCTTCCCCAGGCTCATGCGAAATATCTGACTCCAATGTCTGACTCTTCCAGGGAGGGGGCTGCCATCTCAGCTGTCTGTGCCTTCCAACCACAAGACATTCGGGCAGTGCTGCGTGGCCCCTTCAGAGAGCTGAAACATGACTGCAACAGAGGACTGCCTGTCATGGACAATGATGTGCCCCAGCCCAGACCAGGAGAGGTAAGGGGGGGGGGCTGGAGCAGATCTTCATCCCAGGCCTGAATTCAAGAACTGCCATTAAGACAAGAGCCCAGTAAGTGTCACTGACATTCCTTGTTCCCCTGGAGACTTTGTCACCCAGCCCTGTTTCCTCTAGTGCATCACCAACAACATGAAGCTCCAGCAGTTTGGCTCGTCTCTCTCCCTGCCTGACCGAGTGCTCACCTTCATCCGGGACCATCCACTTATGGATAGGCCCGTGTTTCCAGCTGATGGCCACCCCCTACTCGTCACTACTGACACAGCCTACCTCAGAGTCGTGGCTCACAGGGTGACCAGCCTCTCAGG